ACATATGTGCCTGAGGAGTTCCTGAAGGCATGGAAAGAGAGAGTGGACTATAAAGTCTATTCACCAAAATAACAGCAGAAAACATCCCTAATTTGGAGAAAGAAAGGGACATCCAAGCACAGGAAGCACATAGGATTCCTAATAGACATGATCAGAAAAGACCTTCATGACAACACATTATAGTTAAACTTTCAACAGTAAAACATAAAGAAAAGATTGTAAAATGTGCACAAGAGAAATGCCAGATTACCTTCAAAGAATCCCCAATTAGATTAACAGATAATTTTTCATCAGAAACCCTATATGCTAGAAGACGATGGAGAGTCACAGTACAAGTCCGAAAAGAAAGAAACTGTCAAGCCAGTATATTGTAGCCAGCAAAGCTGTCAATTATAAATGAAAGTGAAGTAAAGACCTTCCAAAAACAAACAGAAACTGAATTGAATTTGTCACCACTTGTCTAGCCTTACAAATGATTCTTAAGAATGTATTACATTGTAACACATGAGTCGTACTTTGGAAATTTATATTCATTAAATAAAAGATAAAAAAAAAAGAATGTATTACACATATTATGAAAGAATGTGAAGGCAGGAAATCATCCAGTAAAAGTACAAAGGAAATAAAAATGAACACTAGAAATATGTATGGAAAAATGGTGGAGTCCAATTGTTTCTTATCAATAATAATCAAAAATTTAAATGGCACAAATTCTTCAATTAAAAGATATAGGCTGGCTGCATGGTTTAAAAACAAGACCCATCTATTTACTACCTAAAAGAAACACACCTTACCAACCAAGGTACACACAGACTGAAAGTGAAAGGATTGGAAAACATATTCCATACTACTAGAAAGCAAAACTGAGCAGGTGTGGCTATCCTAATAAGCGACAAATAGACATTAATGCAAAAACTGTTAAATGAGACAAAGAAGGGCATTATGTAATGCTTAAGGGATCAATTCAACAGAAAGATGTGACTATAATAAATATATATGTACTCAGTGCCAGGGGGCCTGCCTGTTTGAAACAAATGTTCATGGATCTAAATGGAGACATAGACTCTAACACAACAGTAACAGGGGACTTCAACACCCCCACTTTCTTCAATGGGCAGATCAACTAGACTGAAAATCAACAAAGAAACAATAGAACTAATCAATGCTATAGACCAAATGGACCTGTTATTTACAGAACATTTCATCCCACAGCTGAAGAACACACATTTTTTCATCAGTGCATGGAGCTTTCTCCAGGACAGGAGATGTATTAGGCCATAAAGCAAGTCTCAGCATATTAAAAAAAATCAAAATCATACCATGTATCTTTTCTGACCACAATGGAATGAAGCTGGGAATTAACAACTTAAGAATTTCTAGAAAATATGCAAACACAAGGAAACTATAAAACATGTTCCTGAATGAACAATAGGTCATAGACAAAATCAAAAGAGAAATAAAAATTCCTGAAAAATGAAAGAAGATGACACTACAGCATATCAAAACTTATGGGATATAGCCAAAATGGTGTTAAGAGGGAAGTTTAAAGCAGTAAGTGCCTACATCAGGAAATTGGAAAGTCATCAAATAAATGAGCTATCAATGCATCTCAAGGTCCTAGATAAACAATAACAAACCAAATTCAAAATTAGTAAGAAAAAGTAAAAAATAAAATTAGAGTATAAATAATGAAAATTGAAGCCAAAAAATATAAGAGTTCAGTGAAATGAAGACCTAACATAACAACAAATGAAGACATAACATAACAACATTGGCCTAACTAACTTAAAAAATGGGAGTAGACCCCAAATTAATAAAATCAGGGATGAAAAAGGAGATATAAAAATGGATACCACAGAATTAAAAAGAATCATCAAGAATTTCTACAAACAGCAATATCAAACAAATTGGAAAATCTAGAAGAAATGCATAGATTTCTGAATATATACAATCTACCAAAATTGAGTCATGAAGACATATAAAAGCTAGGCAGACCAATAACTAAGATGCATATTGAATCCATAATAAATACCCTCCCAACAAAGAAAAGCCCATGAATGGATGGCTTCACTACTGAATTCTACGACTTTGAAAGAAGAACTGATTCAAATTCTTCTCAAACTATTGAAAACAATTGAAGGCAGGGAATCTCCCAAATTCATTCTATGAGGCCAGAAGTACCTTAACTCAAAACTCAGAAAAAGAGACAAGAAGGAAAAAGAACTCTAGACCAATATCCCTGATAAATATAGATGCAAAAATACTCAGCAGATCAAATCTAACAACACATCAGAAAGATCATTCTCCTGGACCAAGTGCAGAGATGATGGCTAAATATATGTAAATCAGTAAATGTGGTACATCATATTAACAAATTAAAGAATAAAAATAATATGACTATCTCAATAGAAACAGAGAAAGCATTAGATAAAATACAACATCCTATCATGATAAAAACTTTAAGCAAATTGGGCATAACATAACTAAGGCAAACTATGACAAACCCACAGTCAGCATCATATTCAATGGGGAAAAGTTGGAAACATTTCCACTAAGATCTATAACCGGGTAAGAATGCCCACTTTTACTATTACTATTAAATATAGTTCTAAAAGTTTTAGTCAGAGCCATTAGGCAAAAAAAGTAATCAGAGGGATATAAATTGCAAAGGAGGAAGTCAAATTATTCTTGTTTGCAGATGACTCCTCTAAGAGACTTGGAACTCATAAGAGAGTTTGGTAACATTTCAGGATATAAAACCAACACATAAAAATCAATAGCCTTTGTACACACAGACAGTGCCATGGCTGAGAATAACTTGTAAGATCAGTCTCATTCACTATAGCTACACAATTTTTTAAATACCTTGGAATGTATTTAACCAAAGAAGTCAAAGATCTCTACAATGAAAATTACAAAACATTTAAGAAAGAAATGGAAGAAGGCACAAAAATTGGAAAAATCTTATATGTTGATGGATTGGAAAAATTAGTATCATCAAAATGTCCATAATACTGAAAGCCATTTACAGATTCAAAGAGATCACAATCAAATGCAATTCTTATCATATCCAGAAAAATCACTGCTGAAATTTATATGGAAATACAAGAGACCCTGAATAGCTAAAGCAATCTTGTACAACAAAAAAACAAAGCTAAGGGCATCACAATACCAGATTTCTAGACTTGTTACAGGGCAGTTATAATCAAAACAGCCTGGCACATAAATAGACATGTAGACCAATGGAACAGAATAGAAACTCCAGAAATTAATCCATATTTTCACAACCAACTAATCTTTGAAAAACGAGCTAGAATCAATCCCTGGAGAGAGGGCAATGTCTTCAACAAATGGTGCTGGGAAAATTAGATCTCTGAGTGCAGAAGTGTGAAAAAAAGCCACTACCTTACACTTTATACAAAAATCAACTCAAAATGGATCAATGATCTAAATCTATTTATGACCTGGTACCATCAAATTACTAGAGGAAGACATTAAGACATTGATTTGGACAAAGACTTCTTGGAAAAGACCCCAGAAGCATAGGCAATAAAATAAAAAATAGACAAGCTAAGAAGCGTAGCTTCTGCACTGCAAAGGAAACACTCAGCAAAGTGAAGAGGCTACAGACAGAATGGGAGAAATTTAAAAAATATATAACTGATCAAGTATTAATATCCAGAATCAATAAAAACTCAAGAAACTCAGCAACAGCAAAACAAATAATCCAGTTAAGAAATGGGCACAAAGAATATAAACAGGCATTTTTTCAAAAGAGGAAATTCAAATGGCCAACAGACACATACAGAAATGCTTGGGATCATTATCTATCTGGGAAATGCAAATCATAACCACAGTGAGGTTTCATCTCACCCAAGTTAGAATGGCTCTCATACAGAAATCAAAAACCAATAAATGCTGGTGAGGATGTAGGGAAAAACATACTATAATCTGCTATTGGTGAGAGTGTAATCTATTACAGTTATTAAGGAAGACAGTATAGAGAGTCCTTGGAAATCTGAAAGTAGGGGTAATATATGTAAGTGTATATGTGTGTACATGTGTGTGTGGTTGTTGTATTATATTACCTATCATTGTGATTAAAGTGGCACCACACATTTATTGAACATGTTCTGTAATAAGTGTGAAATTTATTTACTTCTTGCGGCAACCTCATGAGGTATGTTGAAGTAAAATTCAAGATACTTAGCCTATAAGCATGGGCTGTGTTCCACTGGGATAAATTCATACCATGAATCTGAAGCAGAGCCATGAGAACCCTGGTAATCCAAGGCTTAAATTTTTTAGCTGCAGCACTGTGGGTTATAGAAGTGACCCCAGGGTAGGGGCCTATGTGGAAGTTGTGTGTGTATGGGTGCTTGAGTAGCCAGATATTTATTGGCATGAAAATACTTAAATATTTTTAAAATTGCTTTTATTTTTTAGGTAACATTTTCAATTAGCGTTATGGTAAAAGGCATAATTCCCCACTAATTAAAGAGTTCCCCACTAGTTAAACAGAAAGCAAAAAGGACCATAGTTCAGCAGTAACACAGGCAAGGTCCACATACAATCATCAAAGGAAAAGCTGCACCATTCACAATAGCCAAAATATTTCAAAGTTTTAAGAGCCAGAGTTCCCACGCTGGTGCAGACCAGGAACTATCAGCACTTAGAAGAAGTATGTTATTATTCCTCATTTTCCTATCAAAAAGATGCAGGCACAGAGAGATCAAATACAGTGGCTACTTGATATTCATGGGGAGTTAGTTCCAGCAGCCCCAGTATCCAAGGGGGTTTAAGTGCCTTGTTCAAAATGGTATAGGATTTTCTTGCACATCCTACTGAATGCTTTAAATCACTTTTGGATGATTTACGATAACTACTACAATAAAAATGCTATGTGAATAGTCGTTATACTATATTGTTTGGGGAACAATGATTTTTAAAAGCCTGTACATGTTCAATACTGACATCATTTTATTTTCCTGTATTTCCAGGCTGGAGACCCAACTGTAATTTCCTTAAGGTTACAACAAATATGTAGCAAAGCTGGAGCTGCAACAGGAACACTGGTGCCAGGACCTGTGTTGTTAATCAGTATATGGATATGACTTCATAGAGATATACTTTGCTTATCCACCACAATGAAAAATGTATGGATTTGAGTGGAATGGAGCTCAGTGGCTTGAGACCTCTGATTTCTTCTTTCTCCATCTTGGATGACAACACAAGTAAGAGAGCTGTTGAAGTGACCTCTGTAAACCATGAAACAGAGAATTTCAATAGAACATTCATACATATTTTTTAATTTGTGAAAGAATGGAATACTATGTAATTATTTTTATGGAAATGGACTGGCTTAAAAAGGAATGAGGAAAAGTTATAGAAGTTATAATGAACTTGTAATGTGATAAATGTTATGAATATATAATGTAATAAAATATAAATATGCATAAAGTGTTTTAATATATAAAGTGTACAAAATTATAATGTGATAACATATTATGAATTCATGATGGAGTGTATATCATAAATGGGCAACACTGTACAATAATTGTGCTCTAAGTTTTGGCAGAATCTTTCATTCTTAATATTCATGGTGAGACATGTTTTAGCTTTGATTCCACACTGGCTTTGTTAAGCATGAGTTTGGCTGCTGGCATGAGGTTAAGAAGCACATGAAGGCAATGTACTGTCCTAATGTGTGGATTCGTTAGTTGTGAGAGAACAGGACTGCATCCCATGTTTAGCACAGTGTCAACTTATAGGTGCTCTGTACATAGTGACGCAAGTACAAATCATTAAAGATTTGGGATGAGCACAGAGGAAGGAGAGTTAACCTTCCTGAAGACAGGGAATGGACAGATTCTTTTTTTTGAGGAAAGCTCCATACTTATGTATTTCTTTTCTCTATAATCATTTTAATTTTGTTAGAGCGATGACAGTTTCTTTGGATATCTTCGCTGTGCACTCCGTCAGCAGAATTTGATTATGAATGTGGGCTCTGAATCATTACTGCCTGAGTTTGCGCTCAAGCTCCTACTTAGTATTTACTTTGAGACTCTGGAAATCTTTACTTATGGAAATTTTGAAATAGTTACAAAATCATTAAAATTATAGCAGTATGTAATCCTCATCAATTTGTTTGACAAATATTTAAAGCAAAACACTGTATTTGCAGCAAATTGATGCACACAAGCATTTCTTTCTTTTTCACTAAGCCTCTCTTACCTCAATTTCCTCATCTGTAGTATTGGGCTAATAATCATACTTGCCTGATAGCGCTGTCCTGAGAATAAACATTATGAATGAATAAATGTAAGCTACTTATAATATTGTTTCAACCCAAAGTGAGGGCTGCAAATTGCTTCTTACTTCTGTTAAGTCCAATCACGCTGTTGATAAGGTATACTGAAGAAAACAGAGAATACCAAGAGTTTTCAAAGTGGACAATATTACATGAAAGCTGTTGCTTAATGGATGACTAGGAAAAATAGAGACTGAGCTCATTTAATTGGATCTAGTCACTGGCAATTTGTTAATTACAGTGTGGGAGACCAAGACAGAGCAGCAAAAGGCGGGGCTGGCTTCCTGGCTGATGATTAAGGCCCTGCTTTGTTACAATTAGTGGGGATAATTAGACAATGGCTCTGCTGAGTGAGGGGATCAAATGAGCCACTGAATCAGAACTATCGGATTGAATGATATTAGTTGATTTCCATTCATTAATTTTAATGAATTCTTTTCACTGGACTAGAGATAGAACAGCGTGCAGTCATTGGTTTTAATGGTGAGCGGATGCTGCAGCCGAGCAATACTGGAACCAGTACTCTGTAGAAATCTGAACACACCCTTTAGTCCCAGCTGCCCCAGAGTCCCAGCTGCCCCTGCCAGAGCTGCTACCTTTTGTTCTCTACTGGTTCTTTTCAGTGATGGCTTACTTCACAAAAATTGCATCACTTACTCTGTAGAGCAATCTTTTTTAAAATTTATTTTATTTATTTGAAAGAGTTACAGAGAGAGGAGCAATCTTTGAAGGTAGTTTTTGGGGTTGACATTGTGGTGCAGTGGTTTGTAAAGCTGCCTCCTGTGATGCTAGTATTCTCTGTGAGCCCTTATTCCAGCCCTGGCTGCTCCACTTCCAATCCAGCTCCTTGCTAATGTGCCTGGAAAACGCAGATGATGCCCCAAGTGCTTGGGCCCCTACCATCCACCTGGAAGACTTGGATGGAATTCTAGGCTCCTGACTTCTGCCTGGCCCAGCCTTGCCTTTGTGGTCATTTGGGGAATGAACCAGTCGATGAGAGATCTCTCTCTTCCTCTATCTCTATAATTCTATCTTTCAAGTAAATAACTAAAATAAAAAAGGTAACTTTTGCTGTTCACGTTCAATTGCTTTGCATGCATCATATAATTTATTCTTTAAACTTTTATCCAGTTAAAAAATAATCTACCTTAACGTGAGAAAACTGAAGCTTACAGTTTACATAACAGTACTAATGTTCAAACCCAGTTCTTTATTTTTAAATATTTTATTTGAAAGGCAGAAACGCGAAAGAGATGTAGATGTCCCAAGTAGTCCCTTAACTACTGCACTAAAGACCTGCCCTCAAACCCAGATTTTTATCATTTTAGTATGCTTCATAACCACTGTATATATTTTAAAAGATTTATTTATTAATTTGAAAGTCTTACACAGAGAGAAGGAGAGGCAGAGAGAGAGAGAGAGAGAGAGAGAGAGGTCTTCCATCCGCTGGTTCATTCCCCAATTGGCCAGAATGGTCAGAACTCTGCTAATCTGAAGCTGAGCTGATCCAAAGCCAAGAGCCAGGAGCTATAAATCAGGAGCTTCTTCCGGGTCTCCCAGGTGGGTGCAGGGGCCCAAGCACTTGGCCATATTCTACTGCTTTCCCAGGCCATAGCAGAGACCTGGATGGAAGTAGAGTAGCCGGGAGTTGAACCAGTGATCATATGGGATGGCAGGCAATGGCTTTACCGGCTATGCCACAGCACCGGCCCCAACCATTGTATATTACATGTTACATCACACTATATGTATTACATTATAATCTCTCTCATGGTATCCCATGTGATAGGAGCAGTTTCTGTACCCAAAGACCTCACGTTCTCCCTTCTCTCTCTCTTTTTTTTTAATATTTTTTAACAGGCAGAGTTAGACAGTGAGAGAGAGAGAGAGACAGAGAGAAAGGTCTTTCTTCCACTGGTTCACCCCCAAAATGGCCGCTACGGCCAGTGTGCGGTGCTGATCCGAAGCCAGGAGCCAGGTGCTTCCTCCTGGTCTCTCATGCGGGTGCAGGGCCCAAGCACTTGGGCCATCCTCCACTGCACTCCCGGGCCACAGCAGAGAGCTGGACTGGAAGAGGGGCAACTGGGACAGAACCAGTGCCCCAACTGGGACTAGAACCAGGGGTGCCGGCACCGCAGGCAGAGGATTAGCCAAGTGAGCCGAGGCACCGGCCCCTTCTTCTCTGTCTTTAACAGCCATAAAATTATTTCTTCCTTTATATCTTGCCAGTTAAGATACTTAGATCTTAATATGAGTCTCAATTATACTAATCTTGTACTCCTGATGAATTGTGTGTTTAAAATATCCTTGTCTTAATATTCTACTCTCATTTTTATTTTACCCACTTTTTGTTTTTTTTCTTTTTGTATTTTGCTCACTCTTGATTTTTAATACACTAATTTATATAGATTTTATAATTTTTAAAATTTTATAATTTTTATAATTTATATATGTCTTCTGAAGAAGTGTTTCACATATATGACAGGAAATATCCAAAAATAAAGATAGAATTTTTAAAGATGGAACAGAATCATGGATCTAAAACCAATTCCTGGAGCAAGGACAGTCTATTTAACAAGTGGTGCTGGGAAAACCGGATTTCCACGTGCAGAAGCATGAAGCAAGACTCCTATCTTACACCTTACACAAAAATCCACTCAACATGGATAAAAGATCTAAATCTATGACCTGACACCATCAAATTATTAGAGAACATGGAGAAACCCTGCAAGATAAGGCACAGGCAAAGACTTCTTGGAAAAGACCCCAGAGGCATAGGCAGTCAAAGCCAAAATTAACAATTGGGTTTACATCAAATTGAGAAGTTTCTGTACTGCAAAAGAAACAGTCAGGAGAGTGAAAAGGCAACCAACAGAATGGGTTGCAAACTATGCAACCAATAAAGGATTAATAACCAGAATCTACAAAGAAATCAAGAAACTCCACAACAACAAAACAAACAACCCACTTAAGAGATGGGCCAAGGACCTCAACAGACATTTTTCAAAAGAGGAAATCCAAATGGCCAACAGACACATGAAAAAATGTTCAAGATCACTAGCAATCAGGGAAATGCAAATCAAAACCACAATGAGGTTTCACCTCACCCCTGTTAGAATGGCTCACATTCAGAAATCTACCAACAAAGAGATGCTGGAGAGGATGTGGGGAAAAAGGGACACTAACCCACTGTTGGTGGGAATGCAAACTGGTCAAGCCACTATGGAAGTCAGTCTGGAGATTCCTCAGAAAGCTGAATATAACCCTACCATACAACCCAGCCATCCCACTCCTTGGAATTTATCCAAAGGAAATTAAATTGGCAAATAAAAGAGTTGTCTGAGTGAAATAAGCCAGTCCCAAAGAGACAAATAGCATATGTTCTCCCTAATTTTTGACAACTAACTGAGCACCTAAAAGGAAACCTGTTGAAGTGGAAATGGCACCATGAGAAACAATGACTTGGTTAGCTCTTGTCCTGACTGTCAAGGAACAACTTACTATTTTATCCCTTTTAGTTTTTTTTTTTGTTGTTCTAGTTAATACTATTGGTTTAACTCTTTAATTAACACATAATTTTCTTAGGTGTTTAAATTTAACTGAAAAGTGATCCGTGTTAAATATAAGAATGGGAATAAGAGAGGGAGGAGATGTACAGTTCGGCACATGCTCACTTGGACTTACCCCTAACAGTAGAGTTAGAAACGTGCCAGGCGATTCCAATTCACCATCAAGGTGGCATGTACCAATGCCATCTCACTAGACAAAATAATCAATTTCAGTTCATAATTGATCATAATGGTAGGATTAAGTGTCAAAGGGATCACATAAACAAGACTAGTGTCTGCTAATACTAACTGATAGAATTAAAAAAGAGAAAACAATCCAACATGGGAAGCAGGCTACACAGCAGACTCATAGAATGGCAGATGTCCTAAACAGCACTCTGGCCTCAGAATCAGCCCTTAGGCATTTGGATCCGGCTAAAAAGTCCATGAGAGTATTTCAGGCATGGAAAGCCAAGACACTGTGGCAAAAACAAAAAAAAAAAAAATGACCTAAATGAAAGGTCTCTGTGAGTGAGATCCCAGTAGAAAGAACAGGGCCATCAAAGAATTAGGTACCTTTCTCTGAAGGGAGGAGGGAACTTCCACTTTGGCTATGGCCTTGACTAAGCAAGATCGGAGTTGGTGAACTCAAGAGGCTTCCATAGCCTTGGCAGCTCATGACAAGAGCTTTGGGTCATTACTGACGTCATAAATAAGAGTGTCAATTGTTAAATCAACAACAGGAGTTACTGTGCACCTACTCCCCATGTAGGATCTCTGTTCTTAATGTTTTGTACTATGTGAATTAATGGTAAAACTAGTATCCAACAGTAGTCTATACTTTGTGTGTCTGTGTGGGTGCAAACTGTTGAAATCTTTACTTGGTCTATACTAAGTTGATCTTCTGTATGTAAAGATAATTGAAAATGAATCTTGATGAAGAATGGGATGGGAGAGGGAGTGGGAGATGGGTTGGTTGTGGGTGGAAGGGAGATTATGGGGGGAAAAAGCCGCTATAATCAAAAAGTTGTACTTTTGAAATTTATATTTATTAAATAAAAGTTAAAAAAATACATCCTCTCCAGCATCAAAAAAATACAAAAAAATGGTAACAGAATCAGGGCATATTTTAATTGAATACTTTAGTGGAAATTCAGTGTGGTAGAGAATTTATTTCTTTCAGAAATACATGAGGTAGAACTAAAGCAATTAAGTGAGTAATGCTAGACTGTATAGCTCTAATTGGATTATGAAATTCTCTGTGAATGATTCTCTTTCTGTCTCTTTAGATATTTATTCACTTTATTTGAATGTCCAATTTAGAGAGAAAGAGAGAGGGAGAGACAGAGAAAGATATGTTCCACCTGCTAGTTCATTTCACAAATGGGTGCAACATTGGAGGATAAGCCAAATGATGGTAGGAGCCAGAAACTCCATCTGAATCTCCCACGTGGATGGCAGGGCAGCAAACACTTGGGCCATTTTCTACTGCTTTCCCAGGTGTGCTAGTGGAGCTGGATTGGAACAGAGTAGCCATACTTGAATAAGTGATAAATGTGAGAATCTATGAACATTTAAAATTTTTGTAGCACTGTCTCAAACAGCAGTTTAATCTCACTAATTCAGTAGATAAATTTGTTGGGTCCCTACCGTGTTCCAGCTTTGAGTTTGAGATATTTGGGAAAACAAAACAGATTAAATTCCTATCTTATTGTCATAAGCTGAAAAATACTTCCTACAGATGTCCATCTCATACTCTGAACCTATGAATTTATTGCTTTACCTAGCAAAGGGGACATTGATGATGTAATTACCCAAGGAGCTTGATATGGGATTTGATTTGGATTATCCTGGTGAGCACTAAATGTCATTCCAAGTTTCCTTATCAGAAGGAGGCTTTTCCCTCAGAAAGGCAATATGATGATATAAGCAAAGATAGGAAGGATGCACACTGAGGTGTAGGGAGTGCCCACAAACCAAAAAAAAAGTGCCAGTAGATACTTAGAAGTTGGCCAGAATTTTGTTATTTTTGTGTCTATGTTCATCAGGGATAGTGGTCTGTAATTCTCTATCAATACTGCATATTTTTCAGGTTTAGGAATTAAGGTGGTGCTCACTTCATAGAAAGAATTTGGAAGTATTCCCTCTTTTTCTATTCTGAATAGTTTGAGAAAAATTGGAGTTAGCTCTTCTTTAAATGTCTGATAGAATTCAGCAGTGAATCCATCCTGTCCTGCGCTTTTCTTTGTTGGGAGGGCCTTTATTACTGTTTGAATTTCTGTCTCAGTTATGGATCTGTTTAGGTTTTCTGTGTCTTCATGGTTCAATTTAGGTAGGTTGCATGTGTCCAGGAATCTATCCATTTCTGATAGATTTCCCTGTTTGCTGGTATACAAGTCCTTGTAGTAATTTCTGATGATTCTTTTTATTTCTGTGGTGTCTGTTGTTACGTTTCCTTTTTCATCTCTGATTTTATTGATTTGAATCTTTTCTGTTCTTTTTTAGTTAGTTGGGCCAATGTTTTACATTATGTACCATGGATGTGGCTAAATCCTAAAATCACCTGCAGATGTAGTGTGATTATGAGCTCATCCTCACTTCCTTCTTCCCATGTTTTATTTGGATTATGCTTAGCATGCCAGTTTTATCAAGTCTCTTGCCCACTTGAATTTTGGCTAAATAATCTGATGGCAAACTCACTCCAGAACCAATCTTAGAATTATTTCATCCAGAATGAACAAATACTTATCTGTCAGAAAAGATGAACAAACCAATGTTAGAAGTAGCAAGCAATGTGTATCCTTACCTTCCCTAGCTACTCTTCACTTTAAGTTTGCAATATTCTGCGTTTGTGCTGATAGTAAAGGAAAGTGTATTAGTATATTAGTGTTCTGGACCATCAGACAATTATATAGAATTTATTATGATTATTTTCTTTTTGTTTCATTGGGTTTTTTAAGAAGTCTTTGGGTAGTCTTCCCAGTTGAACTGTGCAAAGGAGGCTCTGTGTGGCAATTGTAACACTGAGATGTCATTGTACATACATCAGGGACAGTGAGACGCTAACAACATGATTTAAGTTAGATGGTCCGAAACAAAAGCTGACATTCAGAGGATGAAGTCAAGGAAGTTTTATGACTTTGATTCATTTTCTAACACCTACGCTTATGAAATTCTCTTTCCAGAACAAAAATGTTTCAACTAAGTTGAGATTACTTATAATTTTATGTATCATTTCACTATGGTTTGTATTAGTTATTGCTCATCAATACACTGAAAATACTCTGGCAAAAATGTTTTATGAGATCTGTCAGCTTGCTCAAAATCACCAAGGCATACCTACTTATAGGTGTACATGTATTTATTTATTGAAGACATTTAATTGGTGTGCCTGCCCTTAGTATCATAGTGAGCAGAGAGAATGAAATTAGAACCCAAATCCATAATACAAGATAGAGAATTGGGGCTTCAGAATAAAGAAAAGTTATTTCTCTAGGAGTTCAGAGAAGCAGAGAGTTTTCCAGCTTGGAACAAGGTAAGAAGAGGGACATTTAGGGGAGGTTTCATGTAGGAGATGGTGGGTGGTTGAACAAAGCTTTAAAATGTGGGCAGGGTTTGGAGAACTAGAGATGAATTAAGGGCATTTCAGAAAAGGGAAATAGTGAACAGGTACTGAGGTAAGAAGACCTCAGGTGTACCTGAAAGACAGTTGAATTAAAGTATGATCAAGTGAAAGGAAAAACAGAAGAAATGAGCAGATTAGGGATGTCTTGCTAGTTGACTACAGAGACGGACTTTTACTTGATGATTAATTTAATTAATGATCAGTCTTGGGGCTCAAAGGCCCTCCCTGACTCACATCAGATTTGCATTTTGGGAGGATTGATCTGCCAATAGTGTGTACCATGATTAAAAGTAGAAAGGAAAGAGGAAACAGGGAGATCAGTCAGGAGATTACTGTGTTTGTTTATGTGAGACATAAAGCCCTGTCTTGGGTTTTCCCAGTGCAATTGGAGAGAAGTAAATACAAGAGGTTCTGTAGTGCCGGAAATAACCTGTGATGATTTTTTTTGTCTGATTCTTTTTTTTAACTTTTATTTAATGAATATAAATTTCCAAAGTACAGCTTATGGATTACAATGGCTTCCCCCTCATAACCTGTGATGATTAATTTTATGTTTTAACTTGGAAAGTGTTTTCAAATGAGATTAACAGTGCAACTGGTGAATTATGAATGAAGCAGATGGATACCTCCATAACATGGCTTGCAATCAGGTGAAAGTCTGAATGGAACAAAAGGATCAGCTTCCCCTGGCAAGAAGGAATTCTCCTAAAGATTGTCCTTAGACAAGCTAGAACATCTCTGTATACAGATCATTGGACTGGAATTGCCACGTTGGTTCTTCAGGGTCTTTAGTCTTCTGGCTCACACTGCAGATTTTGGACTTGCCACCCTGTATAGCAGTGTGAGCCAGTTCCTTAACTAAATCTCTCATATATATATATATATATATATATATATATATAAAACATATATATACATGTAAATAAATGTATTCTTCCAAACTACAAATAGGTATATAACATTGAAGTCCATGCATATCCAAAGTCTTTAAAAAGTTCATGAAAAATGTGCATTATGAAAAAACTAATTTATTTGTACCAAAACCACCTATTCTTTTTATTCCATTTTTCTTAAGTATATTTGTATTCCATTTTTCTTTTTTTTCTTGTTTGTCGCAACTGTTTTGTTTTACTTTTTTTTCTTTTTAACTTTTATTTAATGAATATAAATTTCCAAAGTACAGCTTATGGATTACAATGGCTTCCCCCCCCCCCATAACGTCCCTCCCACCCGCAACCCTCCCCTTTCCCACTCCCTCTCCCCTTCCATTCACATCAAGATTCATTTTCGATTCTCTTTATATACAGAAGATCAGGTTAGCATACATTAAGTAAAGATTTCAACAGTTTGCTCCCACACAGAAACATAAAGTGAAAAATACTGTTTGAGTACTAGTTATACCATTAAATCTCAATGTACAGCACACTAAGGACAGAGATTCTACATGAGGAGTAAGTGCACAGTGACTCCTGTTGTTGACTTAACAATTTGACACTCTTGTTTATGGCCTCAGTAATCGCCCTAGGCTCTTGTCATGAGCTGCCAAGGCTATGGAAGCCCCCTGAGTTCACCGACTCTGATCATATTTAGACAAGGCCATGGTCAAAGTGGAAGTTCTCTCCTCCCTTCAGAGAAAGGTACCTCCTTCTTTGATGACCCGTTCTTTCCACTGTATTCCATTTTTCTAAAGCTCTCTTTCTCTCTCTCTCTCTCTCTCTCTCTCACACACACACACACACACACACACACGTATGTATACACCTGCATCTCCCTCAGTTTCCCATCCCCCAAATACATGTACTCTATGGGCTGTGTTTCTCTTGAGAACTCTTGGTAAGAGAGAAT